AAAAAAAAAAAAAAAAAGTTGGAAGGTACACACACAGTCACTATACCAAAAAGAAATGGTTGATGTTTAACCATTTCAAGGGGAACCATATGACCAAGAACTGATGGTACTGAAGAAAGACATCCTGAAGGCACTGTGAAAAACAAGCCTCCAGGAATTGATGGAATAAAAACTGGCCTTTTTTAACAGAATGATGCAGCGCAGGAGACATTTACTCATCTATGCCAAGAAATGTGGAAGACAGCTACCTGGCCAACCAATTGGGAAACATCCATTCCAGAGAAGTGGCGGTGGTGGTTATGTGCCATGGAGTCAGTTCTGGCTCATAGAAACCCTGCATAGGGTTTCTGAGGCTGTAAACTTTATGGGAGCAGAAAGCTTCATCTTTCTTCTGAGGAACAGTTGGTAGTTTTGAACTGCTGACCTTGAGGTTAGCAGCCCGATTCATAACTACTATGCTACCAGATCTCCTGGTCTTATGGTAAGTGTTCCTTATACAGTTCTCCCTGGGGTGCTGTTCGACAGAGACTGTGGTCACCACCTGATTCTGAAACACAAATATTTTTATTCTTTCAAACATCCAAGGATTGTGGAAATCATCAAATGATATCATTAATATCACATGTAAGTACAATTTTGCTAAAGATAATTATTAAAAATGGTTGCAATAGTACATCAACAAGGAGCTGCCAGAAATTCAAGCTGGATTCAGAAGAGGATGTGGAAAGAGGGATATCACTGCTGATGCCAGCTAGATCTTGGCTAAAAGCAGAGAACACCAGAAAGATGTTTACTTTTGCTTTATTGACTATAAAAAGGCTTTTGACTGTGTGGACCATGACAAACTATGGGTAATATGCGGAAGAATGGGTATTCCAGAATACTTCATTGTGCTCATGAAGAATCTGTACACAGACAAAGAAGCAAAGCAAGCTTTGTCAGAACAAAGCAAGGAGACAGTGAATGGTTTAAAATCAGGGAATGTGTGCACTAGGGCTGTATCCTTTCACCATCCTTATTCAATCTGTATGTTGGGCAAATAATCTGAAAAACTGGATTATATGAAGAAGAAAGTGGCATCAGGACTAGAAGAAGAACCAGTAATAACCTGTGATATGCGGATGAAACAACCTTGCTTTTTGGAAGTGAGAAAAAAGAGGGCTTAAAATACTTACTGAGGAAGATCAAAGACTACATCCTTCAGTATGGATCATACTTCAATGTAAAGAAAAAAAAAAAATCCTTACAACTGGACCAATAAACAATAGCATGGTAAATGGAGAAAAGATCCAAGTTGTCAAAGATTTCATTTTACTTGGATCCGCAATCCACATTCATGAAAGCAGGAGTCAAGAAACCAAGCATCGTATTGCATTAGGCAAAATGCTGCAAGAGACCTCTTTAAAATGCTCAAGCGTGAAGATGCTACTTTGAGGACTAAGGTATGCCTTACCCAAGCCATGTTATTATCAATTGCCTCATATGCACATGAAAGTTGGACCACAAATAAGGAAGACTATAAAAGAATTGAGGCATTTGAATTATGGTATGTGAGAAGGATGTTAAAAGTACCATGGATTGCCAGAAGAACAAATAGGTCTGTCCTAAAAAACGTATAGCCAGAATGTTCCTTGGAAGCAAAGCTGGTGAGACTTTGCCTCTCATACTCCCACCATGTTATCAAGAGGGATCAGTCCCTGGAGAAGGACATCATGCTTGACAAAATGGTGGGTCAGTGAAGGAAAGGAAGACTAAAGAGATGGACTGACACAATAACACCAATGACATCAACCACAACAACAACTGTGAGGATGGAGCAGGTCCTAACAGTTTTCCTTCTGTTGTATATAGGGTCATATTGTAAATGAGTCGGTTCCAACTTAACAGCACCTAACAATAACAAAGGAGCTCTGGTAGCATAGTGGTTACGAATCGGGCTGCTAACCCCAGGGTCATCAGTTCGAAACTACCAGCTGTTCTGTGAGCGAAAGATGAGGCTTTCTGCTCCCATAAAGACTTACAGCCTCGGAAACCCTGTACAGGGTCGCTACGAGTCGAAACCAACTCCACGGCACGCAACAACAACAATGGAGTCTTGGTGTGGTGCTGTGGGATACAGCATGGGACTGTAAGGTTGGTTTGAACCACAAGATCTGTGGTTTAATCTCACCAGCCGCTCCTTGGAAATCCTATACACTGTTGCTATGAGTTGGAACTGACTTGACAGCATTTACCAACGACAACAAAACCACTAAGTGGCAGAACTAAGACTCCCACCTAAGACTTCAAATCCAGGCTTTCTCATAGTCCCTGCAATGACAGTTAGCTCATTGTACAGGTTGAGGGATCCGGAAGACTTTGTTAGACCTCTTCCCTCTCTGGCGTCAATTGTCCCCCCACTATCTGTAACATAAGCTAGATGTTTTCAAATGTGGTTTGTGGCCCATTCGTCCTGAAATCAAGATAGGTTTCAGTGTGTGTGTATGTATTTCCATGTGTTATGTGCTAGCTTGTAGTATCAAATGTACTTCTTACTGTGAGTCACGGTCCAAGAAGTGGGAAAGCCCACCAAATCAGATGACCTCTAAGGGCCCTTCCAGCTGGACCATTCTAAGAGCGTCACCTTTCTTTACTGACAACTGCTGTAAATACAGGAATCCTGGGTGGTGCAAACAGTTAGGCACTAGACTACTAACTAGGTTAGCAATTCAAACCCACCCAAAGGTATCTTGGACTGAAAGTCTGGAAAACTTCTTCCTAAAGGTGCCATATGGAGTGGTTCTACTCTGCACACAGGTGGCCATGAGCCAGAATCCACTTGGTGACAACTGAAGGGCAGCAGTAGCTGTGGATCTAAGTGTAAAATGTGCAGATACTGCCCCACCCCAATCAGCCTCAAAGCAGACCTTTCCAGTCTGTCTCCACGGCCCCTGCTGCACCTGTGGCCTGGGCCTGGCTGCTGGGAGCTCAGAATACGCACCTGGGCAGGCTGACGTGGACTGTCCCCACTGGCACGATCTCCAGGGATTTGCCCCAGAACTTGTTCTTCCACTTCATGTCTGGAATGGGGGTTTGGGGAAGGAGAGGAAAGAACAGAGATAAAGCCAGAGAATGTTCTAGCCCCTCCCCCACCTGCCCCGCACCCCAGGGCCACCGCCCCCACTTCTCACCTTGCCAGAAGATGAAGTTCTCAGACTCTGCGTGGCACGCTGAGACAGGGGGGTGGTGGGATACCTTGGTACAGAGATGATGTTCACTGAGGACCTTGAATTCTGTTCCTGACACCCATGGCCTCCCAAGTCCCTACCTGAACCCCAGTTCCCCTGCAAACCAAGCTTGCTAAGTCTTTGGCCACTACCCAGACTCCATCCCACCAGCTCTCTCTTCTCTTCCCCACAAGGCTCTCAGGCTGTCTCTTCTCACTCGCTCCCTACCAACCTCTTACCAAGAGGTGCCCCATGATCCCTGTTCAAGCCTATAGACTCCCCAACTGTGTTGCTGGCCCTCCCTGAAACACACCCTCCCATCTTCCCTGGCAGTCACTTCCCCCAGCAGCCTCCACACCACACCCTTGAAAGCAGGCTTCTCCTCAGAGCATCGCCACATCTGGACTCTCCATTCCGACATCCCATAGCCTACCCTCCTTGCCTCTCTCCAAATGCCATAACTTCCCCTGCTCTGGCCAAGACATCCAGCTCCCTGAATAATCTGCATTTTTCTTTACTTTTCTTTTTTTTTTTTTAAATCTTTACTTTCCTCCACACTTACTATAAACCCAGTCTCTGCCCTCATCCCTTCTCTGAAACCTTCCTCAAAAGGAACCCAATGGTATCCCTCCCATACACAGCCTAAGTCCGGGAGACTACCTCTCATCCTCCTTCTTTTCTTCCCTACCCCCTTCAGTGATCCTCCTTCTTGTAGTGCTCCCCACCTTCCATCTGTGCTCCTCCTCCCCAGACAACCCACAGTCGACCCTACCATCTAAACTGGGTGTTACCCTGACTATTAGCTTCACCCAGTACCCCTGAGGAGTTCCATGCCCATTTGCCCCAAAGCCTACTGGATACATTCCCTAGGAAGTCACACCCAACATAGACCATGTGTCTCTCTAATTCACATACCTTAATATACTTTCTAGCTTGCCAAATGGCATGGCCACCATCTACTCAACTAGAAATTTGAGGCCCCGCCCAGACTTGTCCCTCTCATTAGCCACTTCCCCCATCCTGTTGACCACAGGATCCTAACAAAGAAAAGATCAATATCTCTTGATCCCATGGCCTAAGTGCAGGACCGCATTGCTCTCACAGTGGTGACTGAAATGGCCTCCTAATGGCCTCTCGGGCCTTCCCCCTGGCCCCCCTCCTCACTGACTGAGTGTTCTCTGTGACGTGCAGCTCTGAGCCTTCAGGGTAAATGACAACGCACAAACACCACCTCCTTTCCTACACACACAGGCTCCTTGGGGTCTCGGCCCCCAGTCACACCTGTAACTCTTGCCAGACAAACTCCCTCCTCTCCATTCCTCCCTGCTGCCTGGGACATCCCATTCTCCCCACTTTCTGGTATTCATGGTCAACTCCTATTCATCCTGTAAGACTTAAAGTACAGCCTCATCCCTAGAGCATGCTTTCCCATGGGGAGCTGGATAACCTCCTAGAGGCTCCCAGGATCCTACCTCTAGACCCTTAGGACATGTAACAGTAACTCCCTGTTTCAACAATCTGTCTGAGCACTAAGTGGGAGCTCCTGGCACAGTCATGCACCTCCCCAGCACATGGTACAGGACCTGGTACCAGCAGGTACCCTGTGCTTCTTCCCCTATGCCCTCGGTCCTCTGGCCCCCGGCTTCTCCTCCCTGAAGCTTGGGCACTGTCCCTGCTCCAGCACCTCTGAGCCCATGCTTGAATCCCAGGGACCCACACCTGCTCACTGATGAAGCGGAAGCCTCGATCAGGCCGTTCACACTCATAGGTCTCCCCCAGAACAGGGTTGAAGGGCTTACAACCCGCTCGGTGGTACGTGGAGGAATAGGCAGAGACAGCAAAGGCCGCAACAAACACCTGGTTGGGGAAGTGGGGGAGGGATGGGAGGGTAAGTGACAGGGGCAGTGTCACTGAGCAGGGGTCATGCCCAGAGAAGAGGGATCCAGGATATGGGATGCCACCCTACTTGGAACAGGGTCTGGGGGCCCTGCCCAGCCAAGCTTTCCTGGGGCTGGGGCCTGGGGGGGCAGGTACCATGCGCTCGCAGGGGTCCGCCGTGCGGCTGGCTTGGTCCAGGAGGCTGCTGTATTCAAGCTCCTCACAGAGCCGCTGCAGAGTGTTCAGTGGCTCGTTGAGCTGCACGGGCATCGAGACCTTCGACAGGTCTTTGCCAATGTTGTTACGCAGGATGTTCCACAAGCTCACGTCAGCTCCAGGCCCACTGGCTGCTGGTAGACAGCGGCGGCGGGGCGGCCCAGCAACTCTCCCTGGAACACACCCCCCTGGGGCCCAGCACAGATTGTCACTGTCCCTCTGGGTCTCAGATGCAACAGCCCACACACCAGGCCAGGCCAGGCTGCTTCCAAACCTCCCGAGGTGCTTGCAGATGTAGATGTTCTCAAGCCCCAGGTTTCCTGACCAGTTCCTGGGGACTGAGAGGACAGTCCCCACTGCAGGAACCCCACATCCCTGGCCTTCTGTGCCCTTCCTTAAACAGAAACAGGCACTGGGATACAGATTATTTAGCCCATTTTACGAATGAGGAAACAGATTCCAAGAAGTTAAATAAACGAGGCTTCAGAGTGGTCACATGGGATCCCAACTCAAGCCTCCAGCTTCCTGGCCTGACCCTGACCTGGAATATTCCCCGACTCACACCTTCACCGTCATTACTTCTGCGATCACCTCTGGAGTCAACACCCAAATCCACAAGGGACTGCCTCCCCATGGGGCCTGGGCCATGGACAACACCACCTTTCTCCCTCTCTGTCCGCGCCCGGCTGGCACCTTTCTGACAGCGCTCGGTTCCCCTGAAATCCAGCACCTCCTCGGACAAGCTGGTGGTGATTTCACTGGTACACGATTCCTCCTCTGAGCCCTGAGCCAGGACAGATGACAGGCCGGGCAGACTGTGCCCCCCGGCAGCTGGGCAGTGCCCAGGGCCTGGCAAGAATCTGCCCAGCTAGCCCTTTAGTGGGAAGGGGAAGAGAATGTTTTTGTGGGGGTCTGAGTCCTAAGACATGACCGGGGGACGTGGCATCACAGAGCATGCCTGGCCACCTGGTTGAGGGGAAGACCCGGCCCTACGACTTGGTGGGAGGAAGTGCAGGGACTTAGCAGGTTGTAAAGAGAAGAGCCATTGAAGAGTGGCTGAGACTCCGAGTCAAGGAGTGCTGAGGTGGAAACAGGTCACAGGAAAATGACTGGGGTTGGAGTTGAGGCAGTAGTTTCTGGAAAACCCACTGGGGATAAGGTATGTCAAGCTGGGAGAGTTCTCAGCAAGGCCCCGCAGGTTAGGACATGTTCCCAAGGAGAGCGGCTAAGGCAGTTAGGAAGGCCTCAGACTTATAGACACTAGCCTCTCAGGACCCCTTTCTATTCCCAGGCCCTTCACCTTATTGCCTCCTCCCTCACCTCATTCTCAGAAGAGCTGGCGGAGAGCAACACCTCACAGGCATCGAAAAACTCCGTGTGAGAATCGGCGAGGGACAGGACGCTGCTCTGGGACAGCTGGGGGGTCAGCTCCCGCCCCTTCATGTACAGAGCTTCTTGCTGTGGGAACCAGAACACTGTGAGGCCTCAGCAGCCGCATCGTGAGAGCTTGCCCTGCTGGACAACTCCCCGCAGGGCAGTGCAACTGACCCCATCACAGTCTGAGTGTGACCCTGCCTATGAGCAGAAGGGAGAGGCACAAGGAACTGGGGGTTGGGAGGAGTGGGTAGAGGAATGAACACCAGCTGGGAGTAAGGGGACAAAGGTTCCATTGCTGCTGGCACTGCCTCAGAGTCCGCTCCAATCCCTATTCATGCATTAACTCATTCAGTCTTCAAACCACCCAACTTTTCACCCCCACTACCCCCATTTTACAGATGCAGACACTGAGGTTAAGGATAACAAAGTTGGCACACAGCGACAACACTGAGTATGACCCCTAAGGTATGGCCCCAGAGGATGGCACAAACCACGGGAGTTTGTGCCAAAACATTAGACAGTTCGAGTCTCAGTTTCCTCAACTATTACTGATGCAGAAGAACAGGACTGGACTCTGAATTAGGAGTGAACGTGTGCTGTACGTGGGTGAGGACTGAGCAGGATGCTGCCGCTGAGGTGATGATGCCAGGGAATAGGATGGAGCTCAGATCTGTGGGGTCTGCTTCAGGGCTGGAAGCCAACCTTGCCTGTTCCCCTCACCACCACCAGGCTATAGCTTTGCTTTAGAAAGAAGGCCCAGGAGAAATGGTCTGACAGTCCACCGCTCCTCACCTCTTCAGGGTTGAGGGAACTGAAGGAGTCCGCAGTGGTGTCTGAGGAGATGGATAGTGAATGCATGCGCCTCTGGCCAGCTGGAGCCTCAGAGACCTACAGGGAGAGGTGAGGGGGCGGGTGCCAGGAGGAGGGGGCCTCCCCACCTACAGAGACAGCCTCTGCCAGGCCTCCCTGCTCCAAGCCAGGTCTTCCCTCAGTCCCCCAGGCCTGCATTGCTGAGCCTCAAACCCTCTCTCCCAAAGTCACCCAGTTCCCCTAGCCTCACCCCCATCCTTGAGAGCTCTGAGCCCGGGGGCAGGTCCCTGAGTCGGTCCCATTCCGCGGTGAGTGCGGCCAGCACGCTGCTGAGGGAGCTGTGCACTGGGGGCACACAGCAGGTTGTCAGACTCATCGCCTCTCCCACCTGACTTCCCTGGCCGCCCCTCTAGCACATACTCACCCTTCTGGGCCAAGGCCCAGAAACTGCGCTGCAGATGGCCATAGTCTTGGGGTGGCAGTCCTCGAGGGCCTGAGGGGTCCCGGGACTCCAGGTAGCGACATAGGTTGGGAACAGAGCCATGGAGACGACCAACCTGTAGTGGGGGGTGAGGATTCTAGAGTGTCATCTTCCTTCGGGGCACCCCACCGCAGCACCTTGGGGCATCACCTCACCCGCCCAATGGTGTCGTCTTTGGCGAAGCTCTGTGTGCACCACATGCGGCTGGTCCGTTTTCCTTTCTTGGGTCTCTCGGTCGTCACAGAGGCCTGGCAAAGCAGGTGTGGGACTTTCACTCTCAAGGTGAGGGAAGGGCAGACAGCCCCAAAGGGAAGACCAACATGGTGGCAGATGCCTGAGCCAGGAGGAAGGAGCTGCTCCGAAGGAGAGTTTGGACAAAGGGGCAGAAAGGCAACTTGGCAGGTCCTAGAGAAGACCATGACTGTCCCAGACAAGGGATGGGGATGAAGGCAGCAAGTGGGATTGAGGCCTTGGTGGGACCTGCCTCCATCCAGGCCCTACCTGGTGTGTGGGGATCACAGGGGCCGATGGGATCCGGTGTAGGGACTCCAGGCTCTGAAGCAGTCGGTGTAGTTCCTGAAGCTTCCCTTGACATTTGGAGAGTTCTGGGTAGAGAGCAGATGAGGAAGTCTATCTCCCAGTACCAGCCAGAGTACCCCAAAGTTGGTCTCTCCCTTCCTTCCTCCTCCAAAGATTTCACTGAGCAGCCAGGAAATCCTGGCAGTGCCTTCCCACCCCCGATGCAGTGCACACCCTTTAGTTTGGCTGTACCTGGCTTCCTGCGAGTGCCTGCATCCAATCCTCCCCTCCAACTACAGATCACGTGTAATCTCCACTCCCCTCACACAGGCCTTACTCCAGGACCCAAGCTTCTAGAGCACACCCATTCCCTGGCTCCACTCCAGGCCCTGTGTTGACATCCAGTATCTTCTTTTCTGTGAATCCAGTATCTAGTCTGTGGCTGAAGGCCCGAGCCCTGCCCTCCTCTAAGACTGGGACTCCCAGGGGAAGGCCAGAGCCCACCTATCAGCTTAGAGGCAGAGGCTGTGTTTCCCCCATCAGAAAGGGCCTCCCCAAAGGCAGGGATAGAGTTAGCATGCCCCTGCTTTGTGACCACTAATGCACCTAGACCCAACAGTGCACTGGGCCAGCCCCTCACCATAAGAGCAGCGGTCTAGCCCATCACTGTCTCTCAGCCAGGAAGACACCTTCTCCCGAGGTCCAACTCCAGGTAGGGCCGAAGTGCTCCCCACTGTGGGAAGCTGACCACCAGTAGCCTGTGCAGTGAGTTGAGGGTCAGGAAGGCTGGTGCCCAAGCTCCCCACAGCCACCACCCTAAGTCACCACTTCACCTGTCCCTGCCCCCAGGACCATCTGACCTTCCGGTGAGTGTTGCCAGGCAGTGGGCCGTGGGGCATGTCCAGGCACTGGGCCAGGCGATGGGCACGAAGCTGGGCCACCCAGCTCTGGAACATATCTTGGGATTTGATCTATAAAAGAGAAAAGAGGGGAAGGGATGCATGGAAGAAGCAACTGCTTTCCAGGGACAAGAAGTCAGGGCTCTGATGCCCAGGCAAGCAAGGCTTCTCCCTGCAGCCCCCAGTTCATGTAAAGTCCCCCTCTCAGGAAGGTTGAACACTCAGCTCTGCATCTGGTCATGTGACAACCAACAGCACAAGCTCATCTGCCATTGGCTGTTTTATATAGTGGAATACCTGCTTGTCAAACTCAGGGACAGTCCACCGACCCTCTCCTGTGTGCCCCAGTCCCCTCTGTCAGACTGGTTCCCAGATATCACCTTGAGGTGGTAGATGTTATCTTCGGTGTCAAGATCAATGCGTTGAGCCTTTTTGTTGATCGACATGACAGACAGTCGGACATCAATGGAGCCGTGGAGCTTCCCCTTAGTGATCTGAGGTGGAGGGGACTAGTTTTAAGCTCCAAGCCACAAGTCATCACTTCCCTGAGTTTCAAGGGTCAGGCAGCAAGCTCACACTCATTCTCAAGCCACAGTGTTGGTAGGAACTTGTCACTCTCCCTGCTGGGTACAGGTCACCTTGCTACATCAAGTCACATCCTCAGCTCTATGAAGACAGAGCAGGGAAAATATTCCCAGCCTCAAAAATCTGCCAGACTGAGGTAGTCTTAGAGAGAACATGACGTGGGGGGCAAGGACGAGGACCACTGAGCTCTCCTTTCTTGAGTACCTTTTATATGCCAGTCGCTGGCCAGACAGCTTGATCTGTACCATCTCTATTAGCATGACACCAACTCTACACACTCACATTCCCACTCTCCCCACCTTAGAGATGAGGGAACTGAGGCCCAGAGAAATCATGTGTCCAAGATTACACGTGCAGCAACTAGTGGGCCTGGAATTCAGACCTGCTCTGTCTGCCCCAGGTGTCCCTGGCCTGCCTGAGGCATTCTGGGGCCAGACTCCTCCCTCAGTCCTGAGGCTAGGCCCCGACTCACATCTTGCCTAGTAGTTGCGTAGTGCAGAATCCCGTCCTCGAGCACAAAGTACCTCTGTGACGTTACCCAGGAGGCCGATAGGAACGCGTGTGGGGAGGAGAGAAACCACAACATACACTGTTCTACTCAAACACAGTACTGCCCTGCAGCTTCCCCTACCATTTCCATCTCACACACCTGCCCACACCATACCCCCGCCCCCACCATTCCCCGTCAGCCCTGCCAGCCCTACCTTGTGCCAGCCCTTCAGGGGCCACTTCCTCTTCTTGAGCAGGTGGCCTTCCTGCCTCTCAGGCATGATACCCTCCAGCCTGCCCCGAGGCTCTTCCACCACCTCCCACAGCTCCGAAGGGGCCTGCAGTCCAGCACAGAGAGGGCCGGTGAGGCGGCTAGTGAGGCCACCACATCCATTCCCTCCCTGTGGGCCAAGCTAGGCCCCACCATTGCTCTCCCATTCCCCAGACCTGCTGAGTGCTGCTGGGTTTTGAGGACTGAGTGCTCTCGGCCAGGGAGGGAGGGTCCCTCTCTTGGAAGTCCATGGAGAAGGGAGAGGCCGCTCCCTGCTGAAGACTCAGAGCAGGGCAGAAGAGGGAGGAAGGAAGTCACCTTGTCCGGAGGGGGCCCTTGAAGGAAGAGAGACAGCCCATTGGCTCAGCTCCTGCCATCACCTTCAGTCTTCCCACCCCAAACCCCTCCTGCACACTCTGGGATTGGAGTTCACCAGCAGTCTTCCCTGCACCTGCCATGCCTTCCCGCTGGCCTGGCCTGGTCCTGGGTGGGTCTCCTGGTCCACACCCTCTCCCTACAGCCACTGCACCAGCAGGCTTGTGCTGAGAGGCCAAGAGGTTCACACAGCCCCACCTTGGGCACACACGCCTGGGCTTCAGGAAACACACAGAACTTTCTTGGGAAGACTCCCTGAGAGTGTTCAGAAGTGAGGCAGAGGAGAGGAGGGGAGGGAAGGAAGAGGCTCCAAGAAAGGACAGGGAGTCAGAGGCAAGATCTCAGCCTCACTGCCTGTGCCTTAGGACCCTCTATGCCCCCATCACAGCCTGGAGACACCTCTGCCATGGCGGCCCTGCAGAGTCTCCCCAGGTCCTTCACCCCAACTCCACACCAATTGCTCTCCATATCCTCTAGTTCTTTGGCTCCCATTTCCTACAGGGGGAAACTGAGCCCAGAGCCTGCACCTGTTTTTTCCTGTGTCTCCTATCAAGCCTCTCCCCATATTTTCACTTGGACTCTCAGTGCCCCCAAGTCTTACCTTCCCCATTCTACTATTCCAATCTGAGGGGCTCCTAAGAAGTATCACCCCCCTGGAGAGAGTGGGAGACTGGGCAGGTGGACACACTGGGCAGGAGAGGAGATAGCCCTGATCATGCAAGGTCTGATCAAGTCACACAGCAGTGCCCACGGCTCTGGCACCAGTCCCGGCCATCCCAGCTCCCAGGGCCATCAATAATGCAGGAGGCTGTGTGTGTGAGCAGGGGGAGGGGACTGGAGGGGCAAGACCAGCCCAGATTACCTTCTGGAGCCAGCAAGCACCTGAGGAGTGAAGGACAGGAGGGGACAAGGAGTAGGGGAGGCCGGGAGAGCAAGGCAGATGGGCCCCTGCTGCCAGAGGATGGCCCAAGGTGGAAACTCCTGCCTCTGGCTATTTAAAGTTCCCAAACTCTTCCAGTGTTGGGATATTTCTGTGGCCTTTTGCTGGTCCCGTGGATCGCCTGGTCCCTCACACTGCTTGCTGGTGGAGGTGGGGGTCGGGAAGAAGGTGGGGGTCGAGGTGACAAGTGAGCAGCCTTCCCCACCTCTATTCCCGCCCGGCTCTGGAGGCACAGACCTGCCCAGCTTCAGGTGGGCGCCTCCCGGAGATGTCAGCTGTGCCACACTGCCCCTTACCCCAGGGTCCATGGACGCCAGTGCTCCTTGGCCCGTGCACTGCTCCACCTCTGAGTCACCGTCTCCGACTTGCCGGCTCCCTCCTTTCAGAGCTCAGCAGTGGCAGCAGCTGCTGCAGGAACCAGGAAGGAAGGAGACGTTGGAGCCTCCCCTCCAGCCGGATCTCCCCACCTCCCTCTCCACTGTCCCCTCCTCCCGCCCAGCACCGCCGGCCGCTCAGCTCTGCCCCCCTGCTCCCCGGAGGACTCAGGACTGAGCAGGCTCCACCAGCCCTGATGTGGCTCGGGAGCCGGGGCACCATCCCCAGTGGGACCAGTTTCAGGTAGAGCAGAGACGACAGGAAGCTGCTGGCTTCAAGCCAATGGTGGTAAAGGGCTTATTCAGACCATGGTGGCCAAGACCCCAGTTAGTGCTCAAAGCCAGTTCTTTATTAACTAGTGCTGCTCGGTTTACATTCTGAAGAGATGGCAAAATCTGAAGCGAGCACATGTATCAGGTTGATGGGGAAGGGGTGTGATACCTCCTCTGGGGCCAGAAGACTGCCAAGAGCAGTCAGCAACGCAGTCACTGTGAGACACCCAGGAGTCCTTCTCCCCCCACTCCTCACTGACACTGCTTATGGTATAACATCCCACCAACTCAGGCCCCATGTGGGGGGCCCTGGAAGTGCCTGTGCATTAAAATAAACCCCAGCGCCTGCTAAATGCCAGGTATTCAGCTCCAATGAAATTTTAACTGGTGAGGAAGATGAGAAACTCATTTAAATAAATGTGGAAAAAACAAGCAGCTGTTAACTGCAGTTAAACAAGTTTCTGGAAAGAAATGAGCTATTGGACAGATCTGAGCATGCCAGAAGGCCAGGTTCTCCTTTGATCCTAGAAATGACCTAGATGACTTTCTCATCCACCTGGTCCCCATCCAGGACTTGGTTTCCCCTTAAGGTCCTTATAGAGGACACCTGCTCTCTGCTTTATTTGGGACCTCTGCTGGACTTTGCCAGGAGGGGCTCTTGAAGGCAGGAGTTGGCAGCCTTGGCCAGACTGACTCTGGCTTTCGGATGCTTCCAGAGCCTTTTAACTCACTTCCTATTGATTAAGCATCCCAGGCACATGGCACAGAGCTGGGCAGGCCACAGAAGAACAGTTCAGAGCATGACTGCCAGGGGTACACACCCAGAATGAAGGAAGCTGTGGCATTCTCAAAGTCCAAGAAAGACTGCTGACCCACCATCTCCCTGGGTCACCCCGATCTGTCCAGCATGGACTTCCCATTATATACTTTTCTCCTGCTAAGAGCTGCTGAGTCAAGACTTGAGATGAGGTTTCTGGCTTGAATCTACCCCAGAATCCATTAGTAGAAAATCTTCGTTTTATTTAAAGGCACCCTGGTAGCACAGTGGATTACACATTAGACTGCTAACCACAAGTCAGCAGTTTGAATCCACCAGTGGTTCCAAGGGAGAAAGATAAGGCTTTCTGCTTCCATATAACAGCCTTAGAAACCCTAGAGTCCTCAATGAATAGAAACTGACTTGACGGCACACAGCAGGAGTTTTGTTCAGTCCTGGCTGAAATACATTAGCTACTGGGCAAAGCTACCAGCTGCCTTTAAAAGGTTCCCATTGCTCTCATGGAACCCAGACTTCCTGAAGCCATGTTGTTGTTAAGTGAGATCTAGTTGGTTCCAACTCATAGCAACGCTGTATAGGGTTTCCAAGGAGCAGCTGGTGAGTTTGAACCGCCAACCTTGTGGTTCAACCCGACCTTGCAGTCCCAGTGCTTTATCCTACAGCACCATAAGAAGACTCCTCCAGAATGTTTCAAGATAATCTAGTGCTGTAATTTTTGCTGGTTTATCCTGAAGCCATAGTGGCTGGATGAACGCCTGAAAACTATTGTACTAAGATAATCTTTAAACATTTACCCAAAAAGATCTGAAGTCTTAAACCAAACAATAACTAAGACCAAAATCCAAGTCCACAGCCATCAAGTCAGTTCCAACTCAGACACCCTACAGGTCAGAGAAGAACTGCTCCTGAGGGTTTCCAAGGTTTGGAGGAGAATATTGAAAGTGCCATGGGCTGCCAAAAGAACCAACAGATCTGTGTTGGATGAAATGCAGCCAGAGTGCTCCTTGGAGGCTAGGATGGCCAAACTTCGTCTCTCATACTTCGAACATATTGTCAGGAGGGACCAGTCACTGGAGAAGGATATCATGTTTGGTAAGGTGGAGGGTCAGAGAAAAAGAGGAAGACCCCCCAGAGTGATGGATTGGCCAAGTGGCAGCGTCGATGGACTCAAGTGTGGCAATAATAGTGAGGTTGGCCTAGGATCAGGCAGTGTTTCATTCTGTTGTGCATTGGGTCACTATGAGTCGGTACCAACTCAATGGCACCTAACAACCACAAATCCTGATAGGAGCAGACAGCCTCCTCTCTCTCCCATGACCAAACAATAGTCTTAACCATCTAAAAGGGATCAAACTGACAACAACAACTCAAAAGATTAGGGAGGAACTTCCGGGGGCTATAAGTGTCAGTGGGGGAGAAACAGCTCAGGAGGGTGAGAAAGTTTGCACAACTTGAAGAATGTGATCAGTGTCACTTAATAGTACACGTAGAAAGTGAATTGGTATACCAAGTTCTGCTGTGTATATTCTCAACAAAAAAGACATGCCATTTGTGGGCGTGACAGAGGAAAGTAAAGGGAAGAGATTTTCTAGGAAGAGAAGTGGGGAGTCAGAATTGAGAGATCACCCTGAGAATAAATCTGCATAGAGGATAAGCTTAGAAGCAGCAAGTTAATGATATTTCATTTTATTACCAGGCAGAGCTCCCAGCATCTTTCACAACATGGCACAGATCACGAGCAGAGAATTAATCGCCGAGCACACTGGGGACCCACTCTGGGACTCTCATGAGGACGGGCTAGTGGAGAAATTCAGGGCAGAGGTCTTGAGAAGCAGACACCCTGGTTCAATTCCCTGTTCTGCCACTTACTAACTGCATGACCATGTGCCTCACAATTAAGGTCTCTGGCCCTTCATTATCTCCTCTGTGAAATGGGAATAACCTGGTGAGGAATGAAGGAACTAAAACACATAAAGTGTTTGGTGCCAGGCACACAGAAGGCTCTTAACAGATGCCACTGTTAGCACATTATTCAACTGAGCTGTGTTCAGAAGAGGGTAGGCTGGGGTGGGGGACACTGACAGCTAGGGGCAAGTGACAAGGAGGCAGAGGGCAATATCTTCATCTTTTCAGCATCTCTGCCTTGGGCCTGGAGATCTGAAATGGGCTTTGCTTCTATCATGTCCTAAACTCAGAAAAGCAAAGAACAAGCAGAGTCGTAAACAGTCTCTGCTGGAAACTGGAATCCCTCTGCACTGTAAGTGGAAGCCCCTCCCTGTCCCACATCCTTCTACGTCTCTGAGGAAGGACAGCACACTCGATAAGAGTCAGAGAGTCTTTATGGCAGGACTGGGAATAACAGGCTATGAATCCGGAACAGAGTCAGGAAGGTCCAGCTTCCCATTAGCCGGTTCGATGGAGTTCCCTTCACGTTGCTGTCTGACGTACTGATCCAACAAGGCAATCAGCTGGTGGGGCTGGTGCTGAAGCAGAGAGTGAGTCTGGGCCATCAGGAGGCTGAGTCCTCCTACCAGCTCCCCCTGCACCGCGGCCAGGCTGGGAAGCTTGGAGTAGTTGATGAAGCCCTGTCTGCTGAGGATGGTGTCATCAATGCAGCCACCTAGAAGAAGCTAGGGTCAGCTGGGCTCCCCACAAATGCCCTTCTTGTCTGAAAATGATGTTGCAACCCTAGGAAGTTCCTCACCATTCTCCGCATCCCAGCCTTCCCTGGAATACTGGTTCCCATGTGGCCCCAATTCCTCCCTTAATACTTTCTTTCAAAAACCTCTGCATAACATGTGCCACCTGGCCCCAAGTCTGACTAGGTCAGTGTTTCCCAAACTTTACTGAGGAATCATGGAATGAGTGCATGTGTGCACTTGTGAGGAGCTCATCACACACAGACCTTATAAATGCGAACAGCCGGGGAGGTACTCAGTATTCTCTGGAATAAGCCCCTCCAGTATATCTTCCCATCAGGGAAGTCAGGGGGACACTGCTTACTGTTCTTTCTTTGGGCTGTTTTCAGTATCCTCATCTGGGAAGGTCTCAGCACCCACTAACACCAGTATTCAACTTCCTCTGCCCACAGTGCCCAGGACATCTTCCTCCCACCTTCTCTAGTCTTCCCTAAAGTGTAGAGGTGACGTCAGTAGTGTGAGACTAACACAGCTGTCTGAGTGCCAGTCAGCCCTCAGCAGTGATGGCGACTTAGGCCCCATGTGTGAAAAGGCTGTTCCTCCAAGGATGTCCATGGTTCTACCCAGACAGCCTAGCATATGGTAGCAGGCTGCAGAGGCACCTGCTCCCCCGGCACCCCTTCATCTGACAGTGCTGCTTGTTCACCTAGCAGTGGCAGGAAAGGCACACTCTTCAAGATCCGAACCATCTCCTTGACTTTGGGCTCTGCACTGACCAGCAGCATATTGTGCCCCACAAACAGGGGCAGCAGGTTCTGGTACTTGGATTTCTCCAGGTAGGGCTTCAGAACCTGGAATAGCAGAAAAGAATGGCTTACTGGGGAGGAGAGGGAGGAACGGTCACAAGTGGTCTCAGGCTGAGGGAGCAACCCCAGGGGTCTCCTCACACTCTATCTGCAGCGTAGGCACCAGAGACTAGAGGGCTGCTTGTAGAGAGAAGATTAGGAAATGCCACGTCTAGGGAGCAGATGCTGGGGGCTGGGGAGAACACAGGCTACCCATGCCAGAGGGCCCACTGCCTACCTGGCTGGGGAAGATCTTCATCAAGATCTTGTGTTTCCGCAGCTGGTGCCTTAAAAGGAGCTTGTCCTCTGCACTCAAAGCCACATTCTGGCAGACGGCGATCATTCGGTTGTCATGGAAAACAGCTGCTATCTCCCGTCGGAGCAGCCGGATGAGGCCTGTCTCCTAAAGTCAGGAATGGACAGCCACAGGGCATAAGCTGCCTCTCTCCTCCTTGTACCCCTTACACACACATGTCCAGTGATGCCCAACATGCATCGGGAACAGGTAGGACAGCTGACCCTGGTTCTCTGAGACATGTTAGACTTTTCACTCCCAAGCTTTCTGCTTACACTAGCTAACCACACCCCTTTAGAGCAGAGTTTTCCTGAGAACATTCAGCCTCCCTGGACAGTCAGCATCTACCCTAGTCAATATTACTTGACAATGGTATTGTCCAAATTACTTCAATCTCCCTTACATTGTACTCATGTTGAATTGTATTGCCAATTACAGACACAAGACAACTCTGCTATAGTATTCATTAAAAGTTGAGACATTTTCACAAAACAAGACTTCATTTTATTTAAAGTGTTTCTCAAAGTTCAGAATTTGTGGACTCAGGAACATATTCACTAACTTCTACAAACACCATTTAAGAGATTTCCCCCCCCAAAAGTAATGATGCTAAAATTTATTTAGACAGTAGAACACCTGGAATTCATGGTGATCTTTGCAGAATTTCATGGAAATATTAAGATACATGAGTTTCAATGATGGAAGACTCATTATTGTGTTAAAGCTCGGCTTCACATCATCTCTGCCCAACATAGTGGCTACTGGTCACAAGTGGCTACTTCCACTTAGTAACAATTACATATATTAGATATTCAGTGCCGCGGTCACACTTGCCTCATTTCATGTGTTCAGTAGCTACATATGGCTACTGGGAAAATTCTCTCCAATGACTTCTGCCTGAGCTTGGGGGGTAGGAGGAGGAAGAGAGGCTGTTAATCACGTATAGGAAGGGAAGAGCTAAGTCCTGCTGAAAGAGTCCCAGCCACCAAATGTGGTTTGGTAAGCACTGCTCCACAGCCTGCCCCTCTAGGGCTCATTTAAGACAGCTCTGCTTTCTTCTGTTAGTCCTGGAGGGACTGCTGCCGAATGACTTACATCATGGCTTCATCAGTATCTGACATCTGACCCAAACCCCTCGGGCTACAGTTGCTGCTCAGTTACCCAACTTCTAGCCTCTATGGGGAGAACAGCGAACTAGTCCTCGAACACCAAGAGACACTCAGAAAACTACAATTTATTAGGTACTTACAATAACAGGATCCATCATTAAAGTGACCAATTCTCTACTGGACTTTCTGGTTTGTTTTCCTTAAGGACAGAAAAAAGCCTTATCGTTCCTCCAGAAAACTGTGATTGCTTCAATGCCTTTTAGGGCAAGAAAGATACTCTGCCCTGCCCACATTTGCTTGGGCAGCTTCACACAGACCTTTTTTGGAGACAAGTAACGAACTAAGCAAATTCAGTGGACCTTTTTGATTCACAGAGCCCAAAAGCCAATACAAAATCAAGAGTTGTTTTTTTTTTTTTTAACATTTTATTGTGAATTGAGTGAAGGTTTACAGAACAGATCATCAGTCCCACATTCAACAAATCATACACTTCATGTCCTTAACAATGATTGCAATCTCTTCCAGGCAGCATCAGTTAGCAGTATTTACCTCTACTCATTTTCTAAACTCTTGCACTCTTTTCAGTGTCCTCCACTACCTCCATCTTTCCTGTGTGCAGATTTTAATTTAAAGTACCTGAACCATGGGGTCAAGGAATCCTGGTAGAGCTGTAAGATAAGCACTGAATTGCTAACCATAAGGTGGACAGTTCAAACTCACCAGCCACTCTGCTGGAGAAAGATGAGGCTTTCTGCTCCTGTAAAGATTTATAGCCTCCGAAACTCTATACAGGGTCACTCTGACTTGAAATGAACTTAACAGTGGGTGTGGACCATGGGCTCACAGTAGGGAAGTGGAGAGATGATGGCCTCAAACCCTGCTTCACTAGATCATTTGAAACCACCATCCCCCTACCAAATGCTGCCCACCCATTTGTCCATCTTACCTCCTGGGGAGGGCTGGGTGGAGGTGACAGGCATCTTGGGTTGATGACAGGTTTGGGCGGTATATATTCAGTCAGAGCCATAAGCTTCTGCCGCTCAAAGTGCATCACACGATGGTGGCGGGTAACAGCCTTGGAACCATAGCGGACAGTCTGGAGGGTGGGCAGCCGGCCTAGGAGGGGAGATGGCAATGTAGCTGAGACAGAGCCTCCTAGAGACCCTAGTTTTCCACAGAAAAAGAGTAGACTCTCTTGGCAGATACAACCACGGCTCACAGAACTCAGCAGAGCTGGACAAGAAATTTCCTGCCAGAAACCCTGACTTCTCAAATTTCATCTTTTCTCTGAATGGGTGAATCTAAGTCTATCTATCACTTGGTCCTTGGAAAACCCTAGCCCTCCAGTCTATCTTTATGTGCAGAGATGAAAGGAAAAAAATTGAGATCACAGAGAAATTATTTTGAAAACATAAAAATGGGGGGAGGGGTGCACAAACTTTTTCTTAAATGGCCAGAGAGTACATGTTTGAAGTCTGGGAGCTATACAATCTGTTACTACTACCTAGCTATGTGACTAGTATAAAAGCAGCCATACACAATATGCAAACAAGTAGGTATGTCTGTGTTCTAATAAAAGTTTATCAGCAAAAACAGGTGGCTAGCCCTGCCATCGTTTGTCACCCCTTGGTCTAAGCCAATGGTTCTCAAAATGTGGTCCCAGACCAGCAACATCAGCATGACCTGGAAACACACCTGAATCAGGCACTCTGGGGATATACAGTGTTTTAACAAGCACTCCAGGAGATGCACTCAAAAGTTTCAAAACCACTGCTCTAAATTCTACTCCCATGATTTGGGGGGGGAGGGGGGGGGAATCACATAACCTTTACAGCTCCCCCAAATGAGTCTCCCTTTCCTCCTCCTCTTCTGGATCACAACCTTCAGCTAGAGAGCACTCCGCGGAAAACAAAAAAGCGACTTGAAACTCCTGAGCAAAAGTGATCCCTTTGTCCTTAACACAACAGCCAAGGCTGAAGCGTCCCACTTTCAGTCCTTTCCAAGGATAGGATGGGATTGCAGGAAAAGGTTCCACTAGAAAGTGGCTCTAACACATGGAGACCATGAAGATTTGCCGGCACAGAGGCTTATTGCCAATGGTCATAAAACAGAACTTTTAAAAGCATACACTCTGGAGCTAGATGAAACAGATTGCAATCTCTCTCATGCCACTTCTTAGGTACAGCCCTGAATTGTTCTGAACCATGGTTTCCTCTTCTGTGTTTCCGCGGAGTCATTTCTGACTCAGAGTAACCCTGTATAGGGTTTCCAAGGAGTGGCTGGTGAGCTTGAACTGCAGCGCCACACCAGGACATAATCATGCTTTCCTCTTTTAAGATTTAAATGGATCATGCGTGTAAACACATTTATCACAGTGCCTGGCTTAAATTAAGTGCTCTAATTCATTCATTCAGCAAATAATCTATGGCACGCCTGCTAATGTCAGACCCGTGCCACCTGCTGGCCATGCTGAATGAACATGTCGTTGATTGAGTAGGTTCCAACTCACAGTGACCTTTTACAGGGATTCTGAAGAGTGACTGGTGAGTTTGAACCACCGATCTTCCAGTTGGCAGTCCAGTGTTTATCCTACAACGCCACACCAGGACTCCAGTTGTGCCCTTTTGGAGTTGACAATCAGAAAAGGAAAGCGAATAACCAAATGCAAAATTACATACCTTGATAGGGGCTAAGGAGTTAATAAACAGGAGCAAGACAGAGATTAGCAGGGGAAACCTGCTTTGCAGAGGGAGGAGGGAAGGTCCAAAAAGTGTTATTTAGGCGTAGTGGTTACGAATCGGGCTGCAAACCTCACGGTCATCAGTTCGAAACTAGCAGCTTTTCCGCGGGAGAAAGATGAGGCTTTCTGCTCCCGTAAAGATTTACAGCCTTGGAAACCCTGTACAGGGTCGCTATGAGTCGGAACCGACTCCTCGGCGCATAACAACAACAACTAGGACTAAAAAGAAAGCACCATAAAAGCTTCAAAAATTGGAACCTATACGGAAACCTGACAGAGAAGGAACATTCAAACATTTTTTACTAAAACAAGAGATTAAAAAGTGTTACGCTTCATTCTGTCAACGGCGGAAAACTTTCGAGACCCGGAATAACAAGGTAGTCCCACTGAGCTCTGGCTCTCACAGGTGTCGCTGAGGTGGGGAAGGGCTCTTGTCCAAACAAAGGCAACTCTGGGGATAGGCAAGGTTTAGTGAAACTCAAAGAGAGACAGTTTAGGGTGTAAGGATCAAATACTGTTGTTGTTACTGGGATCGTAGGAAACCGTATGGGGTAAAGTGGTCGGAGATCTTGTCTACTGGGGTCAGGGGTTAACGGGAACTGTCAGAGTTGGAGATTAAAGGAATCTGTAATAGAAGATGGGAGATGAGGGTTAGAGCCGGCGGACCGGATCTTGTCCGGGAGGACTTGGGCTGCTCCTTACCCGCCTGGGGCAGGAGACCTCCTCGCAGCATCCCAGCCACGGACACGGCCATCGCCACCGGAGGAACGGACGGGTACCGAGAGGAGACGGAAGAAGCTAAGGATTGTGGGGCAGCGAACCCAGGGGCCGGAAGCAGTGGGCGAATCCGCCGGCGGAAGCAGTAATCCGCATGCGCTGAATCCTCCAACTGCTAGCCTGCCCTCCCCTTCCCACCTGGCGTCCGGTCTCCTAGCAACAACGCCCTAACTCAAGGAACTGCCTATTCGTTCGTTGCCTTGGGTCCGCATCGCTAGTTAATTACAATGCTCCAGTTGCTACCAACGAAGCCCCTCCAGATTCCTCAAACCCCAGACTTTACACTTTGATTTACTTTTGTTTTAACATCCCGGGTTCCACCATCCCACTCTCCTTCTGAGTTACTACACTCCCTTTTCTTCCCTGCTGTCCCAGGACTTTTAGTTTCAGATCATGCCTGGAGGTGAGTAGGGAGGTGGGATGGTAGGTAGAATAATTGGACAACCGTGGGCTCTGGCTTCCAGGAATAAGAAAATGTGACAGTTGGTGTCACCTCTTCACAGCTAAGCCTGCCCAGAGTCCAGAGCAAGGGGGCATCTGCATCACGGAAGCCCTTATCACTAAGCGGAACTTGACCTTCCCTGAGGACGATGATCTGTCTGAGAAAATGTGAGTGGGGGTTTAAAAATTGTGACCCTCTTTACTTATTCCAAGGAACCTCGTGGCGTAGTGGGTTAAGCGTTGGTCTTCTAACTTGAAAAGCAGAGGTTTCAATCCACCAGACTCTTACAAGATGAGGCAGTCTACTTCCTTAAGACTTATTGTAAAGTGCCATCTAGTCGGTTCCGACTCATAGCGACCCTGTGTAGATTTTCCGAGGAGCAGCTGGTGGGTTTTCAATCGCCAATCTTGTTTCAGTGCATTATCCTGCATAGCCACACCAGGACTTACAGCCTCAGAAGCCCTATGGAGCACTTCTAGTCTGTCTTAAAGGCTCGCTATGAATCGGAATTGACTCGATGGCAGTGAGTGGATTTACTTACTCCACACATGCAATCAGTGGTTATGTCCTGCTGATCAAAATCCCTCAACAACTTAGGGGACACTGAGCTGCTGTTAAGAGTGATGGGGAAATGTGGGAATGGTTCATGGTGATGGTTGAACAACATGAACATATAACACTGAACTGTACATGTGAATCTTGTTAAAATGGCAAATGTTTTTGTTGTCTATATATTTATCACAAATTAAAAAAAAAAAAATCACTCAGCCATCTAACCCTCTCTGAAACACTTGCCCACTTCCCATCTTCTGGCTAAGAGACCACAGAAATGGCATCCAGTGACACCACTTTGCCAACTTTTCTCCCAGGTTTCACACCCTTGCTGAACTGCAGACTGTCCGCCTGGACCGGGAGGGGATTACCTTTATCAAAAATTTAGAGAGCCTCCAGAATATTCACAGCCTCTATCTGCAATCGGTAACTTCTCGCCTCCCTGCTCTCCATTCTATCCTTTGCCTCCCGCCTCCCCACACCACTCCTTTAATCTATCTAAGACCAGTCCCTGGAGAAGGATATCATGCTTGATAAAGTGGGGGGTCATTGAAAAATAGGAAGACCCCCAACGAGATGGATTGACACAGTGGCATCAGCAATGGGCCCAATATAGCCATTATGAGGATGGCCCAGACCCCAGCATTGTTTCGTTTTGTTGTGCATAAAGTCGCTGAGTCAGAACCAACACTACAGTACCTAACAACAAATCTGAAAGGATTAGAGTCCTGTTGTGATGCTGTAGGATAAGCACTGAACTGCTAACTCAAAGGCTGGCAGTTCAAACCCACCAGTCACTCCTTAGAAACCCTATACAGGGTCGCTATGTGTCAGAACCAACTTGGATGGCACTTTAATAACAGCAATCTGAAAGGAGTTATTAGGACCTGACCATCTTGTTCATTCCCTGATGGTTTGGGCCAGCTGACCTTCATTTAAATACCCCAAGTTGAATCGGGAATTCTCCTGAGTTGAAAGATTCCCCCATCCCCCAAGAATAAATCCTGAACAGGCTCTTGAATCACTCTTATTGTATCCTACACTTGTCTTGGTCTAGATTTCTTGTGTCTACCCTAAAATTCTTGTGTTTATAGCTCAAGCCCATTTTCTATTTTGAAGAAGATGGAAGAAAGAACTAAGAGGATTCTTTTGTACTTTTCAGAACCATGAGGGCTATTTCTTGTTAGTTGGCTTTTAGCCTTCTCCAGGCTGCATATCACCAACTTTCTTCACTTTTCCTTTAGAAATCAAATTAATATATGATCTTTGTTCCCTCCCAGTGTGCAAGGCACCAAGGCCATTTTCACTTCCCTGTCACTTGATTTCCTTCTCTGATTCCTAGATTACTCTTTGGTTATTTGGTCAGAACAGTATACTTAAGTTTAGCCAACCCTAAGTTTACACCCTTATCCAGTCACCTGGACAAAGTAAATCAACCCAAAGGCAGTGATGACCATTTCAAGGAGTGCGCTGACCATTCCCAGAATGGTACTTCTCTAACTGCAAAAGTAGATGACCTGGGACCCTTGTCCCTCCCAAAAGCTGACCTCAGCTTGGTTTACCCATCTTGATTTCTTCCTGCAGAATAAGATCCAGCAGATTGAGAACCTGGCCTGCATCCCCTCACTGCGGTATGTAGGGCAGGGGAGGGGTGGGAAACCCCGCAACACCCAAGGAACTGCCTCAGACTTCGTCAAGCCTGGCTCCTTGGTTCACTAAGACTAGCTCTGCTTCTTTCATCCCCAGAGGGCCACTGGTCTTCTAGCTGCCTAGCAGGGAACCCAGGCACCTGGTTACCTCCTCTTTCTCCAGCTGCTCTGTGATTCAGCTGTGTTTCTGCCCCCTCTCTTCCTCCTACAGCTTCCTGTCTCTGGCAGGAAACCGCATCAAGCAGGTGGAAAACCTTCTCGACCTCCCATACCTCCAGTTTCTGGACCTTTCTGAGAACCTGATAGAAACACTGAAGCTGGGTAGGCGTGCGTTTGCCCTGACGCAGAGAATGAGTCCTACAGGGGGCCTCCCTTTTCTCTGCCTGCCCCACCCCCACACACATTCTCCAGGGTGCTGTGCAAAGGGGCACTTAGGTTGGAAGATAGCTGTAAGCTCATTGCCCCTTGCATTGGTGTATGCAGATGAGTTTCCCCAGAGCCTTCTCATCCTCAACCTGACCGGAAACAGCTGTACCAAGCAGAATGGCTACAGGTGAGAAAAAAGGCTTTCTCTCCACCTGCAAACCTGGGGCACCTTCTCCTCTCCCACCTCAGCTCAAGTCTGCCCCTTTCCACAATCCTAGCCCTTAGCCCTTAGCCCTTACAGGGTGGCCACAGGCCCCGTCACTATCATCTAGCTTGTGAGCCACCACACCTGGGACTAGGGAACTGGGACTGTGTCTTCATATTCCTCCAGACTCCCCATCCAGAGAGACCCTCCTGGGTGACTGCTCTTCTTTTCACCCTGCAGGGAGCTGGTGACAAGAGCTCTACCACTGCTCCTGGACCTAGATGGACAGCCTGTGCCTGAGCGCTGGGCCTCGGATGAGGAGAAAACCTCCAGCGATGATGAAGATGAGGAATTCCCGGAGCTGAGTGGCCCGTTCTGCTCAGAGCAAGGTGATCCAGCCTACCAGAGCCCACCCCTGCCCTGGTGGCGGGGACAGGAGACAGGGGAGGGCGCAGGGAGTATGAAGCTTAAGATGGTGGTCCCAAGTACAGATCAGCATTTGTCCAGAGGTGGTGGACGGTACAGGTGCGGTAGGGATGCAGGTAACTCAGACCCTTCCCACTAGAGACAGGAGGCCGGATGTGTTCAGGGGGGTCAGCCAGGAACCTTTTCACTGAGCCTGGGGCCCCTCTACCACTCTGGGCCCTCCCAGGCTTCTTCAAGGACCTGGAGCAGGAAATAATCAGGCATAAGAAGCACAGGCAGCAAGCAGCCCTGACCGAGCACCTCCTGAGACTGGAGACACAGCTCACGCTCACAGACCTCCCCCGGCCGCCTGAGGAGCTCATGGCCAGGGACAGCAGCCCGCTTTTCCCTCCCAGGCAAGGGAAGAAGACTGAACCCGCCTCCTTGCCACAGACATCCGCCACCAAGAAACCTGGCAATCTGGCCTCCCTGGGCCAGAAAGGTCCTGCCCAGACAAGGAAGGGAGCCAGGGCAGCCACAGCCCCCAAAGCCTCCCTGACTAGGGTCCCCAGCACAACCAAAACTATGACCAAGAAAATCAAGAAATAAAGTGTGACCTGTCTATCAGCAAAGCCACAGGAATGAGGGAGGGAGATGCTGATGGGACATCCCAGTGCTCTCAGGAGCCCATCCCTAATAAAGTGTCTCTGAGCCTTGACTAGGTCTCTGGTGTCACTGGGGGCATCTCAGGGACAGCCATCATGATTGGCATTGGGAAACAGCCACAGAAAAGACAAAGCTTTGAAGATCAAGTTTCTAAGTTTTTAGGCATGCCTTCTCAGGGCCCCCACCTGGCGTGTGTGCGTGTGTGTGGTGTGCGTGTGTATACTGCAAGAGGTGGGCACCACCTTGTAGAAGATGCCATCTCACAGTGGGCCTGAGTTCAGGGACACGTCCTGGGAGTGGCCTCCTAAGCTCAAGGCCAGGAACCAGAGCCTGAGGTTTCAATTCTCCCCCTAATAGTAGTCACTGTAGCGTAGTGGTTACAAATCAGGCTGCTAATCTAATGGTCAGCAGTTCAAAACTACCAGCTGTTCGGCAGGAGAAAGATGAGGCTTTCTGCTCCCATAAAGATTTATAGCCTTGGAAACCCTGTACAGGGTCACTATGAGTCAGAACCGACTCCACGGCACATCACAACAACAAGAAGTAGCCACTGTTGTGCTGGGCGTTGAACTCACACACACCTGCTGCAGGAAGCTCTCCCCGCTCCTTACAGGTGCCCTCCACCAGCCTCACCACCCAGTCACCATCACCTGAGACCACCAAGGATCACTGACCAGCTCAGGGTTACCCTTTGCTCTAGTGTGCTCCCCCCACCCCCATCCCCATGCACCTGGGATCAAGTTCACAGAACACAAGACACTTTTATTAAGGCAAAGGCTAAGCTGGCCACTCCAGGACAATGTTGAGGGGTATGAAGGAACAGCCCACTGCCAGCCCACTGCCAATCCCCAGGCCAGGAGGTGCTGAGGTGCTGAGGTGCTTAGGCATATACCTGGCTCTCCCTCTCCACGAAGGTCTGGAAGAGCCCACCCCACTCCTGGAGTGGCAGTGTCTGCTGGCCTGCCAGTAGCCTCCTGACAGCCTCCAGACCTTCCTGCTCCAGAGCCTGCTGCTTCTGCCAGAGCTGCTGCCCCTGAGCCTGCAGGGAAGGCAGAGACCAGTCTTGGGGACAGGCTTCCCTCAGGGTGCTGGGGGAATCACTCAAACACGCAGGACAAAGGACAGACCACCAGGCAGTCTTCTGGGTGTCCTAGATTTGAAGGGAAGATCCCCCTTCCAAGCCCCTCCCAGACTCCTCTGCTGTTTCCAGAGTTCCCTTTGGGGAGGGGAAGCGAGTCATCTCCCCAGGTAACCCCTAGAGGTTACCTGGTTCTTCTCCATCAGCCCCAGGGCTGTCTGGTGGCTCTGGTAGAGGGTATGTCTTCGATCCACCTGAGTCTGGAATCGGGGCAGGGTCCGAGCAGGATCCTGTGCTCCAAAAGTGGGGGACAGCACTTGCGGGGTCTGGATCACGCCCACCCCGAAGATGAAAGGTTTGAACACTGACCTAATGGGACACAGAATTGAGGCATATCATATCCCTCCTCCCCTGACTGGTACAGGCTCCCAGTCACCCCCACCCTCACCTGGAGGGGTCTGGCGTGGCTGTGAGGAAGTGGACACAGGGCTGTGTAGGGTCCCGAGGCAGGATGGACACCATGCTGGCCGTGGTGCGGAAGCCTCCAGAATCCATACAGATGCCACTCTCCTTGTTCCTGAGGATCCCCATCATCACCTCCGCTGTGATGCCCCCTGCCAAGCAGGAGAGCTGGGGTCCTCCAGCTACATACCAAGCCCCCAGAAATCGAGGGAGGGGAGACTGGCTGACCCCCACACCCCACTAAATTCAGCCACTCAATGAACCTTGCTGTTGGCGCAGCAGCTCCTGGCCAACCTGGAAGCGGGCCTTGGCAGCTTCCATGCGTACAGGTTGCTGGGTCAGGGAGAAGACCTGGGCGAAGTGAAAGGTGTCCTGCCCATTCCACCAGCCTTGGGCCTGGGCTTGGGCCCGCAGCTCGGGGTGTTCAGCCGAGATGTCTGTGCCAATGCTCAGCTGGTTGGAAATGTTCCGGGCCCCCTCTATGGAGGAGATAGGAACATGGTTCATTGATTCATCCAAAATATTTGTTGAGCACCTAGGATGTGCCAAGCACTGGGTTAGATGCTGAGAACATGACTGTGAAGGAAACAGATTTGCCCTCCTGGAGCCTAAGTGTGGAGGAGGCGCAGGGAGAAGGAACAAAAGCCATTTCAAAAATCATAGGAAGCTCAATGTGGTGAGAGCAATGAAAAAGAGGTGCCTGCTTACATGTTAGGGGAAATCGGACCCCCCAGGAACTCCCAGGAAGGCTTCCCAAAAGCAGCAGCAAACTGAAGCAGAAAGTCCAAGTGAAAGGGGTGAAGTCCTGAATGGGCCCACTTCCCTGGACATCCCAGTCATCCCATAAGGTTTGCTCCTGGACTGGGGCCTCTCCCTGTGCCACCACCTCTCCCACCCCCTCAAGGCTGGTACAGGGGGAACACCTCTGGGAGGCAAGCCCCAGGACCAGGCCTCTTACCTGGGATCCTCTGGGCCGCCCACAGACGCCCAGCTGTCTCCAGCACCCACGCCTCAGTTCGGTCAGCCAGCAAGAAAGTGTTATGGTAGCAGAATGGTGTGGGATCCTCCCGGCAGCTGCCCCCCTGCCCATAGCGCTCCAGCAAGCCTGTGATCACGTCCAAAGCTTCTTGGGCTGAGCTACTCCGCTCTAGAGCCAGTCTGCAAAGAGAGAGGGCCAGGGGACAGAAGGACCATGGGGCTATCAGTGACTCCACAAACTCCAGTGGACAAAAAAAGGCCCAGAGAGGTTAGGCAGCTAGCCTAACTCACGCAGCAAGTCCGTTGGCATTGATCATGTTAAGCACGATATGCCAGTGGTTTCCATATCTCTGGACATGGTTTCAGAGAGAACAGTGCCCTGAGCCCTCAAACCCTCTTCAGTCAGATGTTTTATTGGCTTTATAAACTGGCACTCCATATGAGATTTCATTTGAGAAAAATATTTACTTCTATTGAAAACAGTATTTAAACCATTGCCTTGTTTCTAAGGTCACAGGTGGCCACATTTAGGGGCTTCTATCCAGTCCTGGTGTAGTGCTGTGGGTTAATGCACCAGATTGAAAAGTCAGGTTGAACTGCAAAGTTGGCAGTTCAAGCTCACCAGCTGCTCCTTGGAAACCCTACACAGGGTCGCTATGGGTTGGAAACGACTCAATGGGATTTAACAACAACATCCAGTCCCACTCTGGGTGAAAGATGAGACTGTCTGCTCCCATTAAGATTTATAATCTTGGAAATGGGAAGAAGCAGTTCTCTGCGCTATAGGGTTCCTATGGGTCTAAATCAATTCAATGACAGTGGGTGGGTAGTCAGACTGTGGTGCCAGAAGGGGGCAGGGGCAGCTTCTCAGGTGAGGGTGTGAGAGTTAAAAGGGACAGAGACAAAGAGGTGCCTGAGAACCAGGCTTAAAGAAGGGTAGGATGGAGTTAGGCTGAAAGTTAGGCCAAGATTTTTGTGCGTAGGGAGATGAGGGAGGTGGGACCCACACCTGAGCAGATCCATGCCCAGCAGGGCCTCCCCCTCTCCAACTGGCTCCTTGGTCCACACTGCCTCGTTGCCAATGCAGACACCATGCTCATTTGCACCCATCTCGGCCCCCCACAACCAAGAAGGGCGGCTCAGGATCACAGCGTGCGTCTTCGATACCTGCTCCACTTCAATGTAGGTGCACTGGAAGTGAGGGAGGAGAGAGGTGGACTCACTCAGAAAGGGGGAGGTACTATAACATAGTGGCAAGGTGACAGTCCCCTTAACCCATCCCTTTAAGGAAGGTCTTATTATTCCCATTTTACAGATGAGGCACAGAGGCCAAAAGGCTAGACTGGGGGACTCAAATCGAAACTCATACTCTTTCCAGTACATCTGGTGACTTCCCAGGTGTGGGAGCTGAGAAGGAAGGTCTCCATAAGGCCTAACCCACCTGGAGCCGGCTCCCAGGGGGGTGCATGGCTGCAGGTACAAACACCACCTCCTGCACCTCATCCCGGGGGCGGTCAGAGTTCTTGGCAAAGATCACAGCTGGGATGGCCGATGCTGGAGGCACCGAGACAAAGCAGTCGCAGGAACATGGGGTGTCAGAAGTCATCTGGGGAGAGTTGGGGATGAGTGTGTAACAGCTTCCCCCACTCAATCCCATGCCACCTCTTCACAATCCTGGCCATGGCTCAATGCTAGGGACCTGCCTCTCCCATATATGCAGGCACTCAGGGAAGCAACTGCCATTGGGTTCTGGACACTCAACACCACACTCCAGGCCTGGGCACCAGAGCCTGCACACCCCAAAGGCCTTGACCCTTGACCCTCACGGGAGTCCTGGCTCTTCCATGCAGTCCTCAGACCATCTCTCGCTATCCTACCCGAACCCGGCCCCCTCCTGTACTCACTTCTTCCTTGTTTATACTGTATGACCCTCACCCTCTTTCCCTCCAGGATCCCCAGCTCTGTTCTAACCGCCACCTTCTCCGCCTCCGGTCTGGTCCGTCCCATTGGGCGGAGGCTCCCAGGTGACCTGGAAGGTCTTTGGCCCCGGGGGCGGAGTCGGTACCGAGTACCTGCCGTTCATCCATCTTCCAGCAGGGTGCGCGCCTGTACTACTTCTTGAATCGGAATTTGCCTCGCAAATCCTACCTGGCTTCTTGGCCTTTCCTCATGTCCATTTCAGGCCTGAAGAAAGGTTAGTAGGAATTCTCCGGGCTCATCCAAGATGTGGTCATTGTGGATACCTGGAGTTGGAGGCGAAAAGGAACTAACAGCAAAAGGGCTGATTTGTCAGAGTGGGGACTATTAGGGCATTTGGAGATTAGGAAAGAAATTTAGCAACATTGATCCTTGTTTGAATCCCAAAGGCACAATCCTAGGTTGGTGGCCTGGGGTGATAAATAAGTGTATAAGAGTGGTCACAGGCCAGGAGGTGCAGGAATAGTTTAAATTAATGCATATTTTGTGCACATATGCACAAGCCCAATTTGACCCAAAAAGGTCTAGTCTTTCCCATAGTTGTCAAATTCATATAAAGATAGCTTTGAAAGGAAATTTAGAAATTTCTACTCCAAAGATTTGGTGCCTTTAGTTATTAGTGAAACTGGAGCACCAAAAGAGAAATCTTGGCCAAGGTGGGTTATGTAGTGGAATATAGACTTCAATCCCAAATGTTCAGATTTCCAGTTAATTTTCCTTTATAATTTGCCTCCATCTCATTCCCTCTTGCTCTGTGGAATCCTCCAGAACTGGAGCAGGGGATATGCTGAAAATTCTGTATGTCTCCCACAACCATCCTGGGCTGCCATTCAGCGCAGCACCCTGGCCATGGCAGTGGGTTTGTGGTCACTCCTGGGATGGGAATGAAAGCAGAGGGGAAGCAGGTGGGCTTTTCTAATTGCCTCTAGGTATACAAGACTGATTTTCAAGAGGGTGCTAACTGTCTCCAGGTAGACACTGTCAGAAAGGGAAGAATGACCAGGAAGTGGGGTTGGAGGTAAGGCAAAACAAAATGGGAAGAGCATGACTTGGAACCGCAGACTGACAGCTCATCTCTGCTTCTGTTATAGAGCTGATGGATCTCTGGGCAGGTCCCTTTAACTACAAACACCTCAGTTTTTCCAGTAGTAAAAAAGGAGGACCTTTGACTTCATCAGTGGTTTTCAGCTTATGTTGTTAAGTGCCATTGAGTTGGTTCTGACCCATAGCGACCCTGTATAGGGTTTCCAAGGAGCAGCTTGTGTTGTTGTTGTGTGCCGTGGAGTCAGTTCCGACTCATAATGACCCTGTACAGGGTTTCCGAGGCTGTAAATCTTTATGGGAACAGAAAGCCTCATCTTTCTCCTGCAGAACAGCTGGTAGTTTCGAACTGCTGACCTTAAGGTTCACAGCCCGATTCGTAACCACTACGCTACCAGAGCTCCTTAAGGAGCAGCTTATAGGTGGGGTGAAAGCCTGTTGCCATCAAGTTCTATTGTGACTTGTAGAACTGCCCGGTAGGGAAGCAGACTGCCACACCTTCCTCCCTTGGAACAACTGGTGGGTTCAAACTGCTGACTTTTCTTCTAGCGGCTCATCATCTAACCATAGTCCAAACAGGGCTCAGGTGAGGTGAAAAGGGATTTTGTTTCCCCAACCACACATAACTACCATTGTCCCACCCAATACTCTGCTTCTCAACGTGTAGTCTGTGGGGCTGTCAACAGGGAACATTCTAAGATGAGCCAAGAGAAGCCTCCTGCCTCCATTGTGATTTAAACCTTTCTCCTCTTCTGTGGACCATTTCTGTTCTTCATTATCCTCTCTACATAGCTCTCATTTCTACCTTACTTCTTTTTGAGATGGTCATATTACATGAAAGGTTTTGTGCTTTGAAAACTTTTCTTAATTTGATGAAAATCTATATAAAGTATGTTGTTGTTGTTGTTAAGTGCCATCCATTCAGTTCCAACCCATAGCGACCCTGTACAGGGTTTCCGAGGAGCAGCTGGTGAGCTTGAACCACCGACCTTGCAGTTCAAACGGCTTGGCAGTCTGGCGCATTAACCCACAGGGCCACACCAGAACTCCATATAAAAGTATACACCATCTCAACTGTTTCTACACATACAATTTGGTAATGTTTTTGATTACATTCTTCAAGTTGTGTACCATGAACATAACATCAATGTTTCCTAGTGCTTTTGCTTTGTATAAAGTTTGTCATTTAATAAATGAATTTTGTCTCTTACTTACCTTACCAAAAAAGAAGTGTGGTTGTGAACCACTAGAATCAGCATCATCGGAAGTTTGTTTAAAATGCAGTATCTCAGCCCTTAGCCCAGATCTTCTGAATCAGAACTTGCATGTTAACAAGACCCTCTGGCGTCACATTTCAGAAGCATTGCTTTAATATGCCCCAATAAGGTATACTGGGGAGTGAACTGGAGTACCTTGAAAATTTTCATGGATGATTCTAGTATGGCCCCTCCCAAGTGAGAACAACTAGAAGGCTGGTTTCTAGGATTCTTTTCACATCTACACAATTAGGATGCTGAGTGGTCAGGTTCACTAGGGTGAATGAAAAGGAGAAGCTGCTTCTGATTTAGTGAACATTAGGGAGGGCATGTGAGCTTGCTGTAGAATGTCATTCCAGAAGCAAACCTCGAGGCATGGGGAGTCCTGGGTTAATGCACTGCACAGCAAGGTCGGCAGCTCAACCACACCAGCCGTTCCTTGGAAACCCTTACAGGGTCACTCTGGGTCGGAACCAACTCAATGGCACTTAACAACAACATCCGAAGTGAGGCTGCAGGAAGCCGGCTCCTCGCCTTGCACGCACTTCCCCAGCTGTCCGCTGAGGGGCAGGAACAGGCAGGAAGAGGCTTGGAGGGGGCCCAGCCGAGGCCCAGGCTGAAGTTCCCAGGCAGGGCATTCTCTGCTTCACTTTCCCGTTCCTGATTTCACTCACCCAACCCACCCCAGAGGAATTCTCCCACTTCCAGGGAAAGAAAGCGAGGTCATCCTGTGGGTCAATCCAGCTATTCTGATTTCTCTAACCCCCTCCTGATTCCTTTGGGATTGTCCTGCCTAGTGCCAGATCTGTGGGGTCAGAGGTGGCCTTGGGCTCTGCCAGGGGGGCCAGGCCAGCCAGGCAGCATTGCTACTGGGGTGAGCTACCAAACACCAGAGCCCCACCAAAGGCCCCTGCTAAGAATGCAGGTCAGCGGGAGGAGCTGCAAGGGGAGGAGGGCCGGCCACAGCCCTGCCCAGACAGGCCCAGCCGGCCTCACAGATGCCCTCCTGTCCCTGGGGGAGGCAAGGGGCGGAAAGGAGGAGAGGATTCACAAGACTCCTGGGGTCTGACCTTCCCCAGACCCAGGAAGATAAAAGAGGAGCCCCAGGAGTGGGAAGAGCATGAGGTCACAGCACCTTCACCCCCTCCTCCCAGGCTTCTAAATCAAGGAGCAGATGGATACAAACAACTGGCCCCCAAACCGGTCTGGCTTCCTCCATAATCCCTAAATCATTCTGATGCCCCCATCCCCAGGTGCCCTTCAACTTTGTGACCCCAAACTTTTCCAAATAAGTAGTGGGATGGGCCAGCCTGGGTACCAACCAGATTTAGCTTAGAAATTGGGTAAGGGTTATTGCTGTTAGCCAGCCCCCTGCCTCACAGTGACCCTGTGTGTTAGGGAACTGGGGCCCAGCTGAGGAAAAAGGATAATCTGGACAAAAATTGAGAAAGGGCAAGAGAAAGAACAACGCCCCCAACCCTATCCTTTGGGGGCCCTAACTGCCCCTCTATCGATTGATCAATCCATCAGCCTTCCTAGCTGTAGGGCTCTGGAATCATGAGGTTTCACCCATTTGACATAATTAGACACCAACTGTGTGCTAGGCATTGGGCACTTTGGAAAATGAGGACGAATGAATGGGCATTTCTGCATATCTCCTATGGCAACCAGTGGGTCCACGGAGGGTATGTCTGTGCACACCAATGTTGTGTAACTGTGGCAGGTCTCTAGCTGTGAATTGCAGTGGGAGCCTTTCCCTCATACTTTCCAGCTGGGCGGAAGCCCATCAGATATCTTGGCTGCCTTTCATCGCCTTATCCCCGATAGGGATCATCCTGGGTGAAGAAATCAGTCAGTCACCCCCACCTTGCTCACAGCCAGAGGGACTGACTGATTCTAGCACACCCTCACACCCCCATGGGGCGGGGTGAGAGAAAGAGGCCAGCTAGCTCTTGGAGGCAGGGAACTGGGTTCTTGGCAGAGGAAAAAGAGGGGGTTTATATGTGGAGGAGGAAGAAAATATCTAGAACCTTCCCATCCCCACAGGTGAAGATGAAGGAGGGAACGTCAACCCAGAGGGAGCTCCTCCCTTTGGCGCCAACCACCTCCACCTCCAAGGCAAGATCAGACCCTTCAATCAACTCAGCTCAGCCCCATCCAAGAAGAAGAGAGGCTGCCCAGAGGCTGTGGGATCAAAAGGATGTGTCCACCCCACCCTGCAGCCCAGGCCTGGTCCTTACAGCTGAGGAATACTGAGTCAAAAAGGAAACCGAGCTGGAAGACAAATGAAGCAACAATGTGGTTGACAACTTTATTGTGGCATAAAAAACACAGGCTGTTTCTTCCTCCTCCTCCTCCTCCCCCCAAAGTGGGTTCACAGCAGTTAAAGAAAAAAAAAAAAAAAAATCCTACATTTCTCCTCTAGGGGGGCTGCATGGAAGAGAGGGCAGACAGCCAAGCAACCTAGATCTATAAAACAGGGGAGCAGAAGAAAACATACTCATCAAAGCTCCCACCCGCATACCTTAGCACTCTGGGCTTCTAAGATTGGAAGGGGGACATCTACTTGCCCCGCCCCACCCCACCAATACCCAATCAGGAGTTCCTGTTCGAATGGCCACTGGAAAAGGCTGTCCTGGTTTCGATGGGTGGAGGAGAAAAGCATCCCACACCCACAGTGCCCTCCTTCTCTCCCCTCTCTCCATCTGGCTAGGCCACCTGCAGGCACTGCCAACTCTCCTCCTGCCCCCAAGGAAGGGGACCTGGAGGTGAGCTAGGAGGAGGTAGGGAAAAGAAGGATAGAAAATGAACATCTTAAACTACCCCAGGCCCATGAGTCCCTCAGGGAGAAGGCACATTGTCCTTTTTAAGGAGGGCCCCTTTCTACATAAACATATATTTCCACCAGAGCCCAACTTCCATTTCTATAGAGCTCCCAGTCCTGGGGCAGGGCTCCAGCATCCCCAAGGGAAGAAGAGATGCTGTGGGCTTAGATCCCAGGACCTCAAATGGGGTGAATAAGATGGGGTTTCCCTGGCTGAAGACCCCAGGCTCAGTAGAGAACCACACACATACAGACAACACACAGATACACACACACACAAACATACACATGTCCTAATATTAAATAAAATACCCTTTACTTATAACTTAAAAAATCAATACACAGCTAATTCCCACAAAGGACTCTGGGTGGGCAAAGCCGGGCAAAGGGAAGAGGAGGGAAGGAGGAATTTTAACTAAGGCCTCTTCCACCAGCCTGGGAAGGCCCGTCAATTCCAGAAAGCTTTCCCAGTATTGGTATCGGCTTCTTTGCCCTGGTTCAGACTCCACTGGGCTTCTCCTTTTCCTCCCTTCCCACCCTGTAATCATAATCAAAATGTATTTCTAGCATCTAAAAAGGGAACAGGGGTGGATTCCTGGACATCACCTCAGAAGGCAGAACCCCTTCTAATGGAAGAACAGGCCTTCATATGGAAGGGGAGTTTTCCCTGGGGACTGGGGAGGAAGGAACCTACTTGCTCCTTCCTGGGGCCCCCTAATTCATCCTCAATATGCTTTATAGGAGTAGGGCAAGGGATGCAGGTAGAAGGGAATGGCCAAGTACAAGAAACAATGGGCTCAGCTTCTCAATGAGCAGGGAGATGGCTAGTTAGGGGCAATCATGATTCAGAGAAGGGACTACTGAAAGGTCCCTCTGCTGGGACACCCCCAACTAGCTGAGGTAACCCTCTTCTTTTCATCCCCATGGGAAGGCAAATGAGGGGACCTAGGGTGAAGAACTATATCAGTTCTAAAACTGGGACTTCCAGCTGCCTTGAAAGCCTCCATGGTTTATAGATAGGGAGTTGAGCCACTAAACTTGACTTTTTACAAAGCCCAAGAGTTAAGAACTAAATCAGAGCTGAAGAAGCAGTAAACTAGTTCATTCCATTCTCCCACCAAATTCCCCTTCTCTCATCTTAGGAGAGGACTCCGCTTTGTTCTCCAAGGTGGCACTCCCCTACATCCCACATATCTGGCCTTCCCCTTTTCCTTCATGGCTCCAGCAGAACGGGTCTTGAAGGGTTAACAAGGAAGCGCAACAAAAGTTATTTCTCCAGCAACAACCCTCCCAATCAGATGGAGACCAGCCCTATGGGGACCCCTGGCCTCCTCCACCTCATCTCAGCTCTCCTTCTGGAAACCCTAGGGGCAGAAGCACTCTAAGGGGGATGAAAGGGACACAGGGCGGCTCTGGAGGCGCTTTTATGTCCTGGTTCCCAGGCACTAAGGACGTGTCCAGGCAGCTACCCCCAGCGCCCAGGGCCAGCCCCACTGCTCCAGCTCCTCCAGCCCATCCCTACCCCGCCAGCCAAGGAAGGGATGCCCTCCCACCCCAGGGACATGAAAGAATTGGTGAGAGGGGAGAACAGAAGAGCTTGAGAAGGTACTCCCAGCCCACCCATCAAACATGCCCCCTCCAGCCCTAGTGACTAACCCTCCATCACCCCGTCTCCCTGTCCCTGCACCATTTTTCCTCCCCACTCAATAAATAACCACCTTTCTCCCTCACTTAAGCTGCCCCCAAAGCGTCAGGCCTAGGGGTTCTTTTCCGATGTCCCAGCAGGACCAGTGTGGCTGGGCATGTGGCATCAGTTGGATGGTGCCGAGCCGCCCTCGGCCTCCCGCTTGCCCTTGCCCCCAGGGGGCTCTGATGCTCCACCAGCCTTGCCTTCACCAGTGGCCGCTCCGGCAGCCTCCTCCTTGGCGCCTTCGTGGGTTTTCATGTGTTTGGCCAAGTGGTCACTGCGCATGAAGACACGGCTGCAAACTGCACAGGGGAACTTCTTGGTGCCCGTGTGGGTCTGGAGGTGGCGTTGCAGCTCGTCGGAGCGCGTGAAGCGCTTGCCGCAAAAGAGCCAGTTGCACACGAAGGGACGGTCACCGCTGTGCCAGCGCAGGTGTGCCTTCAGGTGCGACGTCTTGGCATAGGCCTTACCGCAGCCTGGTATGTGGCAATTGTGTAAGTGTTTCTTCTTACCCCCATCGGGGCCGCACGGAGCCCCCAGTCGCTCAGCCTCTAAACAGTTGGGACAACGGCACACGGTTTGGCCTGAGCTGCGAGGCACTGACCGCCTGGAACCTTTGGGTCTGGCCGCCCCATCCAGACCGGAATCCAGCCCCTGAGGCTCTGGGGCGGCCGCTTCCAAGACCTTCACCCCATCGGGTGGCCCCAGAAGGTGCTGCCCTCCTGCTGCTGGGAGGAGGTGGTGCGGATGAGGGTGGGGTGGCGGCGCACAAAGCTGATGGTCTCCCACATAGCCCCCCAAACCGGCCTGAAGCGCCCCCGGATGGCCAGGGGAGGTCAGTGCGCCTTGAGTGTGAGGGAGGTCCATCCAGCTGGTGCCTGGGTGTAGGTCCCACCAGGAGCCATCATCCGTACCTGGGTGGGTGGGCCGGAACCACGATTCGTAATGGTGCGACATGTCCGGCTGCAGGAGCTTGGAAAAGGGTCCCGGAGCCAAGGGACTGTCGCTTTCCAGGTCCTCGCAGGTTACCCGCGAGGAGGCCCCTGGCAGCTCATAGCCCTGGGAGAAGTCCACCTCTGGGCCCAGCGGGAGGCTCTGCAGCTCTCCAGGCTGCAGCGGGGAGGGGTAGTCCCCGGCCTCCGGGCTGGTGTGGCCCTGGTATGTTTGGAGAGGCTGCAGGTCCAGGCGCGGTGGGGAGGCGTGAGGCGTGTCAGTGTGCTGGCTGCCCAGAGAGCCACAAACAGCGGTTAGCATTGCCGGGATCCGGGGTGGGGGTGGGGCAGGGAAGGTCAGGGGCGCCTCAGATGAAACCTAAGGGAAGCAAAGAAGCCAAGTTAGGAAAGTAACCAGCTCCCTTTTGGTCTGACCCAGCTACCCTCCGTGCAAAATGTTCCTCTCTGGCACCTTGGATGAAAAAGAGGATCCCAGTTCTAGGTGAAGACTACAGCTGAGTTAAGAGAGAATCTGTGAGTGTTACTGAGAATGTCCTGGTGTGGCGCTGTAAAATAAGCAACGGGACAGTTAACCTCAAGGTTGTTGGTTCAAATTCACCAGCCCTCCTCAAACACCCGATATATAAGGTCGCTATGAGTCGGAACTGACTGGAAGGCACCTAACAACAACATTGAGAATATGAGGTTCTCAGCCAAGGGTAGAGGATGATGAAGCTCTACCTTCCTCTAGGTGATCTCTCCGGCAGGACACAACTCACCCTAAGAGCTGGGAGTTGGGCTGGTCCCATACTGATAATGCAATGATTACCTCGGAAACTCTATTCAGGGTCGTTTTGAGTTGGAAGCGACTCAATGACACACACACAAGGAGCTCTGGTAATGTAGTGGTTATAAGTCAGGTTGCTAATCTCAGGGTCAGCAGTTTGAAACTACCAGCGGTTCCGAGGGAGAAGGATGAGGCTTTTTGCTCCTGTAAAGATTTACAGCCTTGAAAACCCATGCTGGGTCGCTATGAGTTGGAAACAACAATTCCATGGCACACCACAATTCAAGGCTATACCTTGAGGGCAGTACCGGAACCACCATCACTCTAACTGCCCAGATCATCACTTGGGTCAGTGGCATTTCCCCATACTTTCCCCATTTAATGCAATATGGGTGGGTTGAGACAGTAATTTTCTGAAACCTGAACTTGAGGTGACCTGTGTTCCCAAAATATGTTCTGTTCAGTGAAAAAGAGCATTCCACTTCTTTGCAAACCACCCCCCCTACTCTTCCCTATATGCGTGCACACACACACACACACTCCTGATTGGGTTGCCTTGGGCCCCACCAAACCCACTCCCACGCCTGGCTTCCACCCCTTTCCCTCAGGCAGGGACTTCACCTTTCTGGGGTGCAGCTACAGTGCCAGTTTCAGGGGAGTTCCCCCCACCAGAGAAAGCCAAGTCCCTTTCCCTGTCCTGACCCACACTTCTTCTCTGGTTGCTACCCATGCCCTTCTTCAACTGGGGTCTACTTTCCCCAGAAAAGGGAATCAGCCATAAAAGAGCTTGCCAGTAAACTCAGAAAAGTTAGATCACAAGCCCTTTAAGGGATGAAGAAGGGTCAGAATGAGGCGCAAGAGAGCAACAAGGAAAGCCAGAATCATATGACTTCATAGAAAAAATTGCTCAAAAGTGATTATCTAAGGGGGATGGGGTGGGTGTGCATGCCAGACAGGGATAAGTTTTAGAAACTCCCCTAGATCGTTCAAATAGACAGTGTAGAGAACCACACTGTTCCAGACCGAACCTCTTATTTTAAAGAGAAAACAGGTTGAATTTGGAAAAATGACCAACAACATGATATTAATTTATTCATTCAATCCACAAGTATGTACAGAATATGTACCTGGTGTGTGACTCTCCTTAAACCACTGGGAACCTAAAGACTTCCACCTCTTAACCACATAGCTATGTCCTGAATGAAGACCCTCCCCCTTCTCACCACCTCTTTCTAAAGTTTTGGTGCCTCTGAGGTTTGTGTTTTGGGGTCTTCTCTGATGTGATGTGATGGGATAAGGTGGGGTAGGGGAGGCACAGAGATTTAGAGCAAGGATTTTTCCTTTCCACAGAAGATCTCAGCAACCCCCACATCTTCTGACTTTGGGGCAGTTTGAGAGAGGCAGAGAGAAGAGGGCTGGGGCGCCTACTCCGGCTTGGCTGCCTTTACCACAAGAAAGAAACAAGGCGAAGCAGCAGGAGTGGAGCCTCAGGCCCAGGCGGGGCAGCCCAGAAGTCCTTAAACCACTGGGACCCTAACAGCTTTTGACGCCTGGGAACTGCCCCAGGGGCTTGGGGGTGTTGGGGAGGCTTCAGAGTGGTCAGTCTTCCCACACTCCAGCACAGAACCCGGGTGTACAGTCCTGGGATGCGGTGACCTGCCACCAAGGTCTCTGAAAAGGAGGCAGCAGGCACGCACCCCGGCTTCCCATTCACCAACCCTCCTCATTCCCCATTCCTTGGCCACCTCTCCCAATCGTCGTTGCTCGGGTGGCCGGACCTTCCGTACTCGTACTCTCAGTCCCCAATGTTTCCATCCTCCGGTTGTCACATTCAAGCCCAGGTCCCTCCACACTATTCCTTCCGCACAGTTTTTCCTCTGTCGGGACTGTAAAGACCCTTAGATTCTTTCAGATTCGCGCCCTCAAAGGCAATAGGAGGAGGTTCGGAGAGCGTTTCTCCAAGAGGATCCCCAGCTAGGCGCACCCCTAGCCACCCGTCCCCGGCTCCTACCTGGAGGCTGAACTCGGGTTCCTGGCACGGCCGGCTTGCGCGCTACAGACTGGCTCTCATGGACCCTGCGCGCGGCCACTCTCCGGCGGCAAAGGCTGGAGAGGACTGGGACCAGAGGCGGCAGCGGGCCGCGGAGGCGGAGAGCGCTACTGAAGGGTGAAAGACGGGCGGGAGCCAGCAAGCTAGCAGTGAGGCCAGCTCGGCCGGTGACTCACCGCGCTCTGCCAGCATCCTCTCCCCGCGCTCCTTTTTCCCCAGGGCCTCGCGGCCCCGCCCACCTCACCTGCGGCCGCCTTAACCCTAGCGGGCTCGGCGGGGCTGGGAGCCTTGCTTGCAAAGAGGGGGCGGGCTGGGGCTTTGGGGGCCCGGCTAACCTAGCCGCGCGTCCCTGGGCCCGCCCCCTCCGTTGCTCCTCCCTTGTGCCCCCTCGATTCTCTAGCTGGGGGACCCGGGCGGGGTATTTCCCCGGTTCCGAGACCCGCCCTGTTGGGTGTAAAACTGCCCTTGGGCTGGCGTGGTCAACTAGGGGACGCGGGAGTCAAAACCTGGGAGGACAGGGGGGTGCGAATCCAGGGTGTGATGTCTAGCCACATTCAGGTCGCGGGTGGTTTCGACAGCCATCGATCCACCCTCCTCAGTTGGGCAGCGCTGTCCAGAACTGAGAAGAAAACAGGCAACCTGATTGAGCGCTAATTATGTGCGGGGGGTCTACCCCCAGACCTAGGCTATGGGAACTTTATCTTGACTGTCCTTCCCACTCCTCACAGATTCTCCCTATTTCTCGCCTCCCCCTCCCAGTACCCCTCCCTCTGGCTTTCGGGTTCTCCCTCCCTGGCCACTAGCCTTTCAGGGTGACTACCTCCTCTCCCCCTCCCCCCACTGTCCCACTTTCCCGACTCCGCCTTCCGGACTCTCCCTGGTCCCCTCATCTTTCCCCCTCCCCCTCCCTTTAGCCTTAGGCGGCAACCCTCGCCCCCAACTTCTCCCACCCCGTCCGTTACTCTCGGTTCGGGAGGTACTCAGCCTGCGCCCCACTACCCTCGACACTGCAACCTGACGGCACACGTAGAAGTCTGAATGACCCTAGGGAGCGATAGTTCTGGAAAGTGACCCCTTGCTTCCTGGCCCGAGGTTCTTAATTTTGACAAGCGTCTTTGAGAATTTTTTTAATACTAGAAAAACAAAAACAAATGCACATACGCAATGCAATACAACATTTGGTCAACATATCCGGGCATTCGCGGCGCCCACCCAAAAAAGAACTTCTCTTGATATCCAGGTCCTCGGGATCCCCAGGAACGGCCAACCGTCCGCGCGTTAGCCAATGTCCCCCCTCTGAGCCCCTACCTCCCGCTCCCGCTTAATTGATCTCTCTAGGGGACCTCTTTTTTTGTAGGAAATTTCAGATCGATTTCCGTATTTCTTTCGTTGCTCTGATCGGCTTCGCCTAATCGCTTAGCCGTCGGCGTCTTCATTTCGTTTTTGAGTTTGCTGTCCTTTTCGCCCAGCCGGGCAGTGATTGAAGCTGATTTAGTATCATCTCCATAGCCGTCGATTCCACCAGTGGGTTAACTGTCTCACATGACCCGAAATATGACCACAAAATAGCCAGACTGACAACGTGAAAATCAGTGTGTGTGCAAGTGTGTGGGCTTTTCCTCAAGCGCTCACACGCTATCCTATCCAGAGTCGTGTTTGATTCATCTGTCCGTCACCCTCTTTTTTAAGCCTCAATTTCTTCATCTGCAGTATGTGGGTACAAGTCGGAAAGGTTGCTTGCGGCTAAAAGGAAATTATATTCCTATAAAGTTAAGCAGAGTTTACGGTGTACCCCTGACAAAAGCACAGTAAACGGAAGATATCGTTTTTGCTCGAATTATTAAATAAATCGGTTTTTATTTAATAATTATTAAACAAATGTTTGTTGGAGTAAAATACATTCACAAAAATCTCTGGACTAGCAGTTGACGTATTTAAATTTTCACTCCGGCTCTGCCATTTGCTAAATTTCTTGTGACCTTCACCCCCCACCTCCCCCGGGCGGGTCCGCTTAATCTGAGTCCCAGTGTTTCGGTCAGTAAAATGCGATGAGAGAAATCGCCCAACCCAAGGAGCAGCGCTTGGGAAGCCTGAGGCGCTCCCCCATCCCGAAGTTTTTCTGACCAGTTGGATTTCCCTGTACTCGGCACTCAGATGCAGATTAACAAGAACAGCTCTGGACCTTTGTGGCCGGGATTAAATCAACAACCCTACCTATTGGCACGGTTTTCTCTCTATCTACTCAGCCATCAAATCCTGGCTAGTTGGTTTTGCTAGTTCACAGCCACGTCCAGAATAGAGTTATAGGCTCATGTCAGGAATTAAGCCCGCGAATCCGGTTTCTCCGTTAAACCTGGTCCTATCTTTCTGCAGTCTCCGCCTCCTCCACCCCGCCGCCCGCCGCCCTTCTTGTATTTCCAGAGTCCCTACTCTAGGGATGCAAACACTTGCACGGACACCTGGCTCCTGTTGGGAAGGGAAACCG